GAAAGTGCCACAATGGTTTGGGAACTTAACATTGTATCAAGGGAAACAACTATACAGTTCTGTTAAAAATCCACTCCTTTTGATTTAAATGTCCCCTAACATATTCAGAAGGCAAAGACATTGCCAGGCCAAGAAAGCTAAAAATAGAAAAGGTTAAAAAAAAAAACAAAACACGGAGGTCTAAAAAACCTAGTTTATGTGTTATCTTAGTGTTCCTTGTCATTTTCATAGTGGTTCCCAGCATCAAAGATTGGGAAAGAAGAATGGGTTAACTTGCTTACCAAGGAAACTTCCCTGGTGGGGTAAAATTTTTTTTTTTTTTTGATGGGGTAAAATTTTTATTTTCTCAAATTAAAAAAACAGAAAAGAAAAACTGAGAGATCATACTTAACAACAAAAAGTTATTAAGTAGCACTGATCATTCTCCATTATTTCACATCCTATATAATTGGGAATGATCAGTAGCACTTAGTACCATTTTGTTAAGTGTGAGCAACTACTTGTTAATTTTTACTGTATTTTCATATGTAAGGTGAATTTACTTTGATAAATTCTATTTACTCTCACCTGGGTATAGAAATGCTATGATTTTATCTTTTTGCTTATTAAAATTATTTTTAAAGATGTCTAAAGTACTCTCAATTCACAGGAGTTAGAAGTGGAAATAAGTGTTATTTCTAAGACTAAGTGGCTATCAGTGATAATAAGAATTTGAATTTTACCTGTCATCATTTGGTAGATGAGCTAGTCCTTTAAGGTAAATCTATTTTATTTTTGCTGATTTATCACAAATTATCATTATTTATTTTTTTAAAGCGGCCAAACATGGTGGCAATTGTAGCCCCAAAGCAAGGTGCAAGACAGTCATGCCTGAAAGAGAATACCACTGTGGTTACACTTGACTACACTTGACTATTAGTGCTCAGGGCACTTCCTATACCGTGCATCCTCTTGGAACTGTGGCTTCTTTGCACAACAAACCCAATGCAGATCAAATTAAAAGGGCTAGCTTGGGTACAGCACCATGGTGCCCTTTCTTGGGGGATCTCTATCGAACATGGAAGTAGTATCATCACAGATATCCTCTGGATTTGACAAAGTTTCATGGGAACTAATTGATTTGTCTCTGAAAGGACTTTGTTCATGTGAAACAGGTCTTAATTAAAATACACCTCTACGGTTCCAGTCCTTTGGAAATGTGGCTCACAATCATGGTGTGCGTAAGGGTTTTAATCATCTGATTTTGTAAGAGCTGGGGCAGGAAACAGAGTTTTGTATATTCAGTGAAGTAGCCACAATATTGGGGATTGAGTCTGGGTGTGAAAAGTTCATAATCTGTATCTCCAGTTGTTCAAATTATGCATCCATCACAAAATAGAGACACTTTTCTCATGATTTCTGAGCCTTTTTATAGAAATTAAATTGAAAAATGAACATGAAAACAGCTTAATTTATAATTTCTTATAAAGCTAATAAAATTTCCTTATACCAATGAAAATGGTGAAAACTATATTCACCCCTTTCTGCATGAGCCCTGGTAGAAATTAGCGAATAAATTGGTATCATGATAAGTGACTAGAAGACCTGTGTTTGTGGTAGTAAAAATAAAACAATAATTAAATCATTCTTCTTGATGAAGAGTACTAGCTCTGGAAGGATGGCTTGGATTCTCATTCTGACTCTGGTTTACTATGTCTCTAGGGCAGGTCCTTAATCCGTTCTGGATTGTTTCTTTTAATTTTACAGTGGGCGCAGCAACAATAATGCCTATTAGAGGGCTTCTGTCAGAATTTGCTGACATGACCCATATAGCGGTTAGCACAGTGCCTGGCACAGTGTGAATTGCTTTTATCACATGTATATTTATATATGCCTTGTTTCCTCAATTAAAATAAAATTATTTGGGGCACCTGGGTGGCTCAGTGGGTTAAGCCTCTGTGTTCAGCTCAGGTAATGATCTCAGAGTCCTGGGATCATGCCCCACGTCCGGCTCTCTGCTCGGCGGGGAGCCTACTTTCCTCTCTCTTTCTCTGCCTGCCTCTCTGCCTACTTGTGATCTCTCTCTGTCAAATTAAAAAAAAAAAAATCTTGCACAAAAACAGACACATAGATCAATGGAACAGAATAGAGAACCCAGAAATAGACCCTCAACTCTATGGTCAACCAATCTTCGACAAAGCAGGAAAGAATGTCCAATGGAAAAAAGACAGCCTCTTCAATAAATGGTGTTGGGAAAATTGGACAGCCACATGCAGAAAAATGAAATTGGACCATTTCCTTACACCACACATGAAAATAGACTCAAAATGGATGAAGGACCTCAATGTGAGAAAGGAATCCATCAACATCCTTGAGGAGAACAACAGGCAGCAACCTCTTCGACCTCAGCCGCAGCAACATCTTCCTAGGAACATCGCCAAAGGCAAGGGAAGCAAGGGCAAAAATGAACTATTGGGATTTCATCAAGATCAAAAGCTTTTGCACAGCAAAGGAAACAGTTAACAAAACCAAAAGACAACTGACAGAATGGGAGAAGATATTTGCAAATGACATATCAGATAAAGGGCTAGTGTCCAAAATCTATAAAGAACTTAGCAAACTCAACACCCAAAGAACAAATAATCCAATCAAGAAATGGGCAGAAGACATGAACAGACATTTCTGCAAAGAAGACATCCAGATGGCCAACAGACACATGAAAAAGTGCTCCATATCACTCGGCATCAGGGAAATACAAATCAAAACCACAATGAGATACCACCTCACACCAGTCAGAATGGCTAAAATTAACAAGTCAGGAAATGACAGATGCTGGCGAGGATGCGGAGAAAGGGGAACCCTCCTACACTGTTGGTGGGAATGCAAGCTGGTGCAACCACTCTGGAAAACAGCATGGAAGTTCCTCAAAATGATGAAAATAGAGCTACCCTACGACCCAGCAATTGCACTACTAGGTATTTACCCTAAAGATACAAACGTAGTGATCCGAAGGGGCACGTGCACCCGAATGTTTATAGCAGCAATGTCTACAATAGCCAAACTATGGAAAGAACCTAGATGTCCATCAACAGATGAATGGATCAAGATGTGGTATATATACACAATGGAATACTATGCAGCCATCAAAAGAAATGAAATCTTGCCATTTGCGACTACGTGGATGGAACTAGAGGGTATCATGCTTAGCGAAATAAGTCAATCGGAGAATGACAACTACCATATGATCTCCCTAATATGAGGGAGTGGAGATGCAACATGGGGGGTTAAGGGGGTAGGAGAAGATTTAATGAAACAAGATGGGATTGGGAGGGAGACAAACCATAAGTGACTCTTAATCTCACAAAACAAACTGAGGGTTGCTGGGGGGAGGGGGGTTGGGAGGGTGGGGTGGGGTTATGGACACTGGGGAGGGTATGTGCTATGGTGAGGGCTGTGAAGTGCGTAAACCTGGCAATTCACAGACCTGTACCCCTGGGGATAAAAATATATGTTTATAAAAAATAAAAAATTAAAAATTAAAAAAAAATCTTAAAAAAAAAATTATTTGACAGACAGAGATCACAAGTAGGCGGAGAGACAGGCAGAGAGAGAGGAGGAAGCAGGCTCCCCAGTGAGCAGAGAGCCTGATGCGGGGCTCGATCCCAGGACCTGGGGATCATGACCTGAGCTGAGGGTAGAGGCTTTAACCTACTCAGCCACCCAGGTGCCCTTGTTTCCCCGATTTGACTGCAAACTTTGAGAACCCAGGGACCATCTCATACAGTTTTCTGGTCCCTTCATCACCTAGCACACTATGTTAAAAATTAGAGAGTCAGCCCTGAGATTTAAAACTAAAGGGCATCTCAGGGTTAGATTATAAAGGACCTTGACATTTCCCTAGGGCTGCTTTGGACCTGTATCCCATTCTAATAGAGCCCCTGAATCCACTTTGAGTTTGTAGCGATGGTAGTTCTTGGCCATTCTTACCGTAATCAAGAGCAGTCAAACCAATCAAGCATTCAGACAATCAGCCAGAGGCCTGAGGCTATATGTAGTGCAACAGAAATTCCAGATGGTCGTGGCATTTAGAAGCTGTTTCTGGGTTTCTTAGGCATTTCTGGCTACTGGGTGGTATATAATTTCTTAATCTCATCTACGTTAAACCATGCAGAGTATAATTTATGCCCTTCTTCTCTAACTCTTCTCATGGTAGAGTGATGAGCTAGCTAACTTTTCTTATCAAAGGACTAAATGTCTCTGAACAACTTACCAGCAACAAGCTCACAGATAACCTGTGGTCAGTGTACTGATCTATCTCCTTTTAAACATGCTTTCCACATTTTACTTCTTCAGTTTTTTTATTGAACAATTTGGTTGAGTTATTAAAAAAAAGAACTAAGTTTCATACTTTGATAAATAGAATAAACTTTATCAAAGTTACCTACCTTCTGTTTGTAAACACTGAGTATAGCGACAAGGTTCAGCAGGGCTGGGTTTCCTTATGGAGTAATGTGAGAATCACATATTAATCTAGTATAATCTAGGAGTTGGAGGTAGGCTTTGAGAATTTAATATTTTCACTATCACTCTAAAACATTTGGAAAGTTTGAATAAGGCCTTCCTTCTGGCTCTTCTCCTTCTTCCCAATGCTCTGCCAGTAATGTTTCCTCATGTAGCTGGCACTGCAGCTCCCTCGTTGATATTTCTTTTGTCCACTTCCATTCTATCTTAATTTAAAAAATAAATTTCCAAATTTTTTTTAGTTCTATTTTCTCAGTGTACACTTGCAGCTGCACACAAATTTGATTATAAGTTCTACGGTGCTGTGAAAAGCTTGCAATTTTTTTTCCCCAAATGACAGGCAGTGTAAATTATGAAGTACAAAATAATGTATGTTAAAGTACTGCCAGCAATAAATAAAAATTGTTTTTTTGGAAGAAATGACTTTGGAAATGAGGAAGAATGAGGGGGGAGGAGGAAACAGTCCACACAGGAAAGGAAAGAGCCACATTTAGAGGAGCCTCGGAGGGATAAAGACGAAGGACACACTTAAGGCATCTTGATCCCTGGAAACACTTAAGGAATCTACATCCTAGGCAATCCTCCAAGGGTTAAGTCACAGAGGGTAGTTAGGTTGGGTTAGATTTGCTAGTTTCTTTCCTAATAAGATACTGGACCTTTACTTCCCAAGGACGGATCCTTCAGCATTGTTGAGTACCTAACTTGTGCCAGGGATCTGCACAGGAACTGGATTTTGCAAAGGTGAAAAAGAGCACAGTTCGTCTTCAAGCGTTTCTGGTCTTTAAAACAGAACACTCTTAAGAGGTAAGCATAAAGGGACCTGCTGGAAAAAGAGAAAGCAACTAGAAGCTTGGAAGAGTCCTCAGGGCACCACGGAGGAAGTGAGTTGTGGTCTGAAGGACAAACTGAATTTCGATCGGTTTTTGTATCTTCCGAAAATAAATGATAATGTGAAATGAACAGATCCTCCCAAAAGGAAAGGGTTGGGATGAAGGATGACGTATTATATGGATGATTTAAAACACATTTAACTGGAGCAAAAACTTACACAAACCGGTCCCCTTTAACTGGCGGGAAAGAGGGGTCTAGATGGCAAACGCGGGCTGACTGATCAAACTGACATTCCCCCGCGTGCAGCGTCTTCTTCAGACTTGCACCTTGCTAAATGGAAATCTTGACTGCTTTCTCGAAAATCCAGTTTGAGGAGGTGGGGGAGAGGGCACCCACTTTCATTAGATTTTGCACACAGCATAGGGATAACCCTACTTGCATGGTTCCAAGCCCTTTTCTCCCCTCAACCTCTGTAGTTTTAAGGGTTGTGCGAGGTCTATCTGCAGGGATTTTAGAGGTTTTCCTCATCCTCTTGAAGAGAAGTAATAAAAGCATTTAAATTAGCGGGAGGGCGGTTAACACCCGCAGCCCTGGCTCCACTGCACGCCTCATAGCCCGCTGGGGTTCACTCGGCGCCTGCCTTCAGCTGAGTCCCAACAGCGCTAACGGCCGCCGGGCAGCAACGACTCCCGGGCAGCGCGCGGTGAGCGTTGGGCGCTCGGGACTCGCAGGCCAGCAGCGAGTTCACCAGGCGCAGGGAGAGGGACGAGGCCGAGCCGTGGGCGGCTCTTGACGAACAGCCCTTCCAGCCAATTGGAAGCCCGGTCGACTTTTCCCCCTGCCAATAGGGAGCAGGACCAAGGCTGAGGGGCGCTTCCCGCGGGCTGCGGCTGGATTCGATCCTCCGCGGCGGCAGCTAAGGCGGGGGCGGAGGCTCGGCCTGGGCGGCGGGGAGCGAATTAGGGGAGGAGGGAAGACCGGAAGCCACGGTCGCGTCCCCATCCTTAGATTCGCTCCCCCGGGTTGGGAGCGGAGACGGAGGAGGAGGGAGAGGCTGAATGTTGGCTCCGTAATAAAGGGGAGCGGTTGCTCCGGAGCTTCCTACCGGGGCGCCCCCCCCTCATCCCGGCCCGCTCCCTGCACCCACCCGGCTCCTGGGCGCCCGGCCCCCGAGGCCGGCCCGGCAGCGCAGACCTTCGCTGAAGACACTCGGCCAGTGGCGGGGACTGGCCGGCGGCGTCCGAGGCCCGCGCCCCGCCGCCACCCCCACCCGCTAGCCCGCCGGTCTCTCCGGCCGCCGCCATGTCCTCCTCCTCATCCTCTCCCAGGGAGACGTACGAGGAGGATCGCGAGTACGAGAGCCAGGCCAAGCGCCTCAAGACCGAGGAAGGGGAGATCGACTATTCCGCCGAGGAAGGCGAGAACCGCCGGGAACCGACGCCCCGGGGCGGGGGCGATGGCGGCGGCGGCGGTCGGAGCTTCTCACAGCCGGTAACAAAGCGCGGCGCCCCGTCCCCTGTGCCTGGCGGCTCCCCGGGAAGCAGGGCCGGGCGGCGGGGACTCGGCCCCGGGGCCTTCCAGCGCGCCCAGTTTGCCCCCCGCTGCTGCGCTGACCCAGTCGGGAAGCGCCGGCTTCTCTCTTTAGAGCTTTTATTCTTTGCCCTACCTGTTTCCCGCATCCCGACCGGGAACCCGGCTCTGGCCTGGCTGCAGGCCCCGCGTGCGAGTCGTTTGCCGGCCCTGAACTTGGGGAGGGTATCCGGGCGGGGGCGGCGGGGCGGCGTTGCTTCCGCTCTGGGTGGGCTTTGGGGCGCGATTAGCTCTTTGTTACTTTAACTCCTCCGGCTGCTGGCCGGCGTCGGGACGACCCTTTCTCTCCCTTCTGCCCCTGTGCCCGCAGCATCCGCGCGCCGGTCTCGGTCACAGGATGGTTGCGTGGGTTCCGCCGGGGTCTCTCTCCATCTGGGTCCCGGGCAGAGCTGTAACCGAATGACAGATTGGGCTCTGCGCTCACACCCTAGTTCCCCTGAAGGTTTAATTTCAAAATTTTTACTCTTGGCAGTCATGGCGTGCATGCTTTGCTACCCAGGTTTAAGATCGTTGCTCAGTACAGATTTTACGTCTTCGATCAAAAAAAAAAAAAAAAAGTGTTGGTAGGTGTTAGCACCATCCTTATTTTCAGGTAAAACAGATCTTACCAGATTTGCCCCACGAAAGGAGGAACTGAACTCGGAACTGCATTAAACACACATTCTTACATTCTTGTTGCTCTTATCAGAAATGTTAGGTGGAGGCAGAAGGAATGTGAAAATCGTCTTACCCACAGCAAGCAGTAGTAACTCTGCTTAAGTGCGTGGAGACTTTAAGGAAACAAAGCAAAGCAAAAGTTTTTGCCCTTTTTTGGTGCACTTAAGATGTCTTAATGGCTTAGATGTCGTTTAAACATTTATCACATTTTAATTGTGATATTTTGAAAAGAAGCTTTATCTGAAGTTTGAGAAATTATACACATATATTCTACTCAGAATGTTTTTCAACATTTTATAAGAGGCACATTATAAGCCTTTTAGCTGTTGTTTGAATTTTTATGTGAAAAATTCTGGTCAGTAGTCCCGAGTGTTAGTTTCGGAATATGAAACAGTGACACACAGGTTTCAACACATTAGAAAAAAGGAACTTTTTCTTCCTCAAAATAAGTGTTTCTTTGTGGCTAGATATGGCTTTTGATTTTTTGTGCCTAGGTATTTGGAATATTCAAAATGTGGCTTGAACATGTGAATAAAGGAAATGCATGTTTTCTTAAAGTTTCAGTTCAAAACCAATTCCACTGTGGAATTTGGAAGCAGGAATATAGTAATTGATATTTTAGATGGAGCCGATGGATCGGTGTATTTCTTTTGCCAGAAGTCTTGAGTTTTTTGTGTAGTAGCATGAAACGTTTTAAGTGTTTTGGAAAGATACTTTAATTTTTTAATGAAAATTTTTTCTTCGAAAAATAGATTTGGTATTAAAACAGTGGTATTATTTTGGATGTTGGGAAGAAAATAATACCTAATTGATATATCTAGAGTGAATTGTATCTGGCAGTGGAAATAGCACTGGGCAGGGCTTAGAGAGAGTCAGAAGTCTTAGCTAGCATACGATCAGTGTGCCTTTGGGAAAGTCCCTTAATTACTATTCTTGAGTTCATTTAGTCTGTAAAATATAAAAGTTGAACCTTTCCATACCTAAAGTTGTAGTTTGGTGATTAATGTAATGCAGCTTTTAAATTACCCAGGCAGAAACTAATACCTGCAGATTGAGTTATAAATTCTAATTTTTGTTTATCTTACTATTGTTTTGTTTCTTAGGAGATAGTGAATTGCTTTTATTTAACTGTAGAACCAATACTGCACTGTCAATTTTTTTTTAAGGTTTTTATTTATTTATTTGACAGAGATCACAAGTAGGCAGAGAGGCAGACAGAGAGAGAGGAAGGGAAGCAGGCTCCCTGCCGAGCAGAGAGCCTGACTCGGGGCTTGATCCCAGGACTCCCGGATCATGACCTGAGCCGAAGGCAGAGGCTTTAACCCACTGAGCCACCCAGGCGCCCCTGCACTGTCAATTTTAATGAAGTTTTATTTTTCCCGTTTTTAAACCTTTTTATTCATGTAAATTGTGGTGCTATTTTGAAATTATTGCAGCTGTGGAAACCTGCACATAATAAAATTTTATTAGGATAGGCATTCCCTGGATAGAAGTTTAATGTCTAGTGCGTCATCAGCCAGAAATATGGTAATTCATCTAACTGAAATGGGTTTGGCTCAAACTCAGTTGTCCTCCAGTCCAGCCAGGGAAGAAAATACCTTGTGTTCAAACTGTTAAACAACAGTAAATGCAGGTTAGGTACAATGATAAGCAATCTTTTCAATTCCAGTTGGAGGTTTGTAAGGTGCAAAGTAAGACTTCAAAGATTTATATTATTTAGCTTCAGATAATTAAGTTCCCACTAGTGCTTTAATAATATATTAATTAGATTTAAAGAGAAAAGTGAGTATTTAGGAAAAGCAGTGTTGGGGTGCCTGGGTGGCTCAGTCAGTTAAGCATCTGAGCTATTGATTTCTGCCCAGGTCCTGATCTCAGGGTGGTGAGATCGAGCCCCACCTTGGCCACTGAGCTGGCAGTCTACTTGTCCCTCTCCCTTTGCTCCTCCCCTCTTGCGTACTCTGTCAAATCTTTAAAAAAATAAAAAGGAAATCAGTGTTTTTACAAATGCTCCTATTTAAAAATGAGTTGATGATTGTGAATGGTCATGATGTGTTAAGGTGCATGGAGAAATGAGTTAGGAAAAAAAGAAATGAGGTGGTAGGTTGGATATGAAAAAATAAGACAGTCTTCAAATTTATGGCTTCTGGCACTTAATTTGAAGATCAAAAATTCCTAGAGTGTCTCAGATTCACTGGACTGCATTGTTAAACAAAGCTGGATTATGGAGGTTTGTGATGTATTATACATTTAGTTATTCTTAGAGTGAGTGGTTGTTTTAAATTTAGCAGTCAGGACCTTCAGGATCATATTAATGGTAAATTTTGTATCTACTTATTTTTAAGAAAGCAGCTTGACTCCCAAATATTGGAGTTTTACTTGGCAAAACCAATTGAGGAATTAAATGGGGAGGTTATATAGAAATATCTGCTTTTTAAAAGACTGGTATCAATAAAGATTTATGGAGTGCTAATTCATTTTGGAGACTTTCAAGTTTTTCTTTTATTCTTTTCTGCCAGTGACTCAAGAGGCAAATCAGATTGTTAAAATGGTTTGTTTGCTGATGTGGTGAAAATTTAAGTTTCTCAACTTTTAATAAATAGACTTACAAAATGGCAAAATGCCAAGATAAAAATGTAGATCCTAGGATTTCCTAATGATATATATTAGGTAGAGAATCTATTTTGAATTTAAGACACACTCCTGTACTTTAAGGATCTGAATTACAGAGATGTATAGGAATATTATGATGGCTTATTAGATGAATATAGGATAGGAGATGAGATGAGGTCACTTTGTTAGCTAGCTCCCATAGGAAAAGTTTAGAGGCTGACAGTGATCATAGTAACTACACTCTGGGCAATAAAAAAGTTAAAGGGTGTGTTCCTTAGAGGTAAGTGCCAGCGTCTTGAGGCTTCTTTAGCAATAATGTTCTCTGTCTCCTTTAGCTAAGCTATTCCAATAGAGTGAGGTGAGGATTTTCTGGCTTGGTATTAGGGAAAAAGTGAAAAATACTAGGTTTTACTATCTTTTGGTTTTAATAATTGACTATATTTCTTTGTTAGTACATACAGTTGAAAGAGCTCTTAGTAGAGCCATAAGCCCAACCAAGGCAGGTGTCTTGGATCTGCTACCAGTATGCTTTGTGACTTAACATCTCTGGAACTCAACTATCTCATGGGGAGGTTGGATTAGATGAACACTGTGATCTCTTAACTGATCAAAAAACAATACTTGAGGCCCTTTTATGTGCTGGCTGCTGTTCTCAGTGAGGGAGATATAAAAGTTAAAAATTCCATATCTAAGAATCTGTGATTCATTTAGCGCTTTTTTTGCCTCTATGAATTGAAAACAAGTTTGAAAGCTTGTAGTTGCAGCCACAGCAACAATTCAGGTGAGCTTAAGCAATACAAAAAGTGGCAGACAGAGGTAGGGAATTTATTGGCCCATGTCACTGAGAAAGCCAAGTTGTGGCAGTAGTAGGCATGGCTGGGTCTAGGGATTTAGATGATGTCGCTGAGACTTGCTTCTGTATGCCCTGTTTCCTCTATGTATTTATAAAGCTAGACTTACATTCTTACAGCTAGCAAATAGAGAACACTCTTCTTCCCAGTGTCCATATATATCCCTTCTTTTTTTTTTTTTTTTAAAGATTTTATTTATTTATTTGACAGACCGAGATCACAAGTAGGCAGAGAGGCAGGCAGAGAGAAAGGGAAGCAGGCTCCCCGCTGAGCAGAGAGCCTGTCGTTGCAGGGCTCGATCCCAGGACTCTGGGATCATGACCTGAGCCAAAGGCAGAGGCTTAACCCACTGAGCCACCCAGGCGCCCCCATATATATCCCTTCTGACCAACACTTTTTATCTTCTCTCTCCCTGCAGCTAATCACTGGGCTACTTCTGTGTACATGACTGTGTGATTGAGAATACCAGAGGGACAACAGCGTTCAAGACGCACAAGCGTGCATGTGTCCGTGTGTCAGTGCATGTGTGTTTAACCAGAAGAAGGGGAAAGGGGGGGGGCGCCTGGGTGGCTCAGTGGGTTAAAGCCTTTGCCTTCAGCTTGGGTCATGATCTCAGGGTCCTGGGATCGAGCTCAGCTGGGAGCCTGCTCCCCCCCCCCCC